TCTACAACAATAATTGTAGATATAGTGACAATAATTGTAGATATAGTGACAGTATATATAGTGACAACACAGTGACAACAAAATTCTTCACTATAACTCTATTTTCTTGTAGTGTCTATTTTATTAATTATTGATTTGCAAGGTTATATACAATTTTTTAATAAGATTTAAATTATGTTGATCTTCGTTTATATATATATATATATATATATAATTTTTTTTATATTATTATTTATTATTATTATTATTTATTTTTTTTATAGATTTTCTCCTTAATGAGGAACAAATTCAAAATCTTGCACTTGCTGAGATTGAGAATTTGTTGAAATGTCGTGCTACAAGTCTTCGAGAATATGAGCCTATGCCATTTCCGGATAGGGACAACATGCATTCAACTTCGAATCGTCTGATAAGATGAGTTGAATTATGATCGAAAGGCCCTCGTTGTTGAACATGACACGCTTCTTCAAAACATGACAGATGAACAGAAGAGTGTCTACGTCATTAATTATGTCTACCGTTCAATCAGGCGAAGGTGGTGTGTTTTTTTGTATACGGTTATGGTGGAACTGGGAAGACGTATCTGTGGAGGACCTTATTTGCTGGTTTGAGATCCAAGGGTAACAGTCTTATGCGTCGCATCTAGCGGAATAGCATCGCTTTTGCTGCCAGGTGGACGAGCGGCGCATTCTCAATTTGCTATACCATTGAATCCACACCAGGAATCTACTTGCGACATCAATTAGTCGAGCCCTTTGGTGGAATTGATAATTCGTGCTTCTCTTATAATATGGGATGAGGCTCCAATGATGCACAAGCACTGCTTCGAAGTTGTACAGACATCTCTGCAGGGTATTATGGGAGCAATTGACCCTTCAAACAAGGAAAAACCTTTTGGCGGGAAGTCTGTTGTTTTTTGTGGAGATTTCCGACAAATCCTTCCAGTCATTCCGAAGGGTAGCCGTCAAGACATAGTTAATGCTACCATAAATGCTTCTGACATGTGGAGAAGTTGTATTGTGTTAAGGCTTACAAAAAACATGCGTCTCCGCGGACTTCAAGATTCGAATGAACGTGATGAGCTCGCTCGGTTTGCGGATTGGATAGCTAGCATTGGAGATGGCACTGTAGGGGGGTCGAACGATGGTTGTGCAATGATTGACATACCCAAGGACATTTTGCTAGAGCCATCTGATGATCCCGTTGCTCAAATCGTTGAAAGCACATATCCAATGTTTAAGGAGGCCACTGACGATCCAACTTATTTGAAGGACAGGGCTATATTAGCTCTGACTTTAGATGTTGTCGATTCTATCAATGAGTACATGATATCTTCGAATTTGTCGGATGGTCGTACGTACTTGAGTTCTGACAGTACGTGCAAATCAAATTCTAATAATGACTTTTTGTCTGATCTCTATACGCTCGAGTTTTTGAATAGTATCAAGTGTTCTGGAATACCGAATCATAAGTTGTACTTGAAGATTGGAACTCCGGTCATGACCATTCTATGGGTATGTGTAATGGGACATTGGTAGTGACGAAGCTCTCCACTCATGTTCTCGAGTGTAAGATACTCACGGGCGATCACACAGGTGATAAAGTGTTGATTCCAAGAATGGCTATAACTCCTTCTGATGTTAGAATTCCTTTCAAGTTCCAACGTCGTCAGTTTCCCATTATGGTCTCTTACGCCATGACTACAAATAAGAGTCAAGGACAATCATTATCTCATGTTGGCTTATTTCTTAAGAAAACAGTGTTTAGTCATGACCAGTTGTATGTTGTTGTCTCCCGTGTCAGAAACAGAAATGGTTTGAAAATCTTAATTTGTGGCGATGATGACGTGCCAAAGAATTAAACCATGAACATTGTATATAAGGAAGTGTTCAATAATATATAGATTATTTTTTCTTTATTTTCTTAAACTTTTTATTATTAATGACATGATGTTTCTGTTAGTAAGTACTTTGATTTGTAACTGATATTTGCTTTTTAAAAGGGACGGAGATAATAAACCCCCGTGCATCGCACGAGTTCTGTACTAGTTATGGTATAAAGTTAGTGAATTTATTTTTGGTATTTAATGGTCTTTTCATGGAAAATAAATCAATGAATATATATTATAAAATAGATGAATTTATTTTTGGTATTTGATGGTCTTTTCTATAGGAAATAAATTAAAGTGGCGATTTTTTTTTTTAATTGAAAAATTAACAAAAATTTAAGTGAAACAATTTATGACAATTGTACAAACAATTCACACTTATTCAATTGAGCTGTAAATAATGTTAATCCATTTTTGAAAAAAATAGTACTAAATAATTCTAGAACGCATAATATATATTAATACATATGAAAAAGTAACAAGAAAATGAGGTAATTTGCGATTAGTTCATGTGGTGAAATAATATTTTATCATAAGGACGACTTCACATATTTTCAATATTGTGTATTAATTATTATTTTCTTTTAGTTTTTAAATCATTTTTTTTTACTTCAAAGTTAATTCAATCGAATTATTTGAGTAAGAATAAAAATAAAAGGTAAATATTTCTTAAATGAATTTTGAAAGAAGATATTATGATAATTAAAGTATTATAGGTAAATTCTGAAATGCATTTAATTATTGTTATTAAGGATACAGATTGATTTTTTTTTTAATAATAAATAGTTAAGTTTCTTTGATAATATGGAATATTGCATTTACAATTTCTGAAAAACTGAACCAGTTGAGCTATTGATAAATCAAAGGATTGTAAACTAATCATTTTGATTAAATGGTTATTTTAAGATATGATAAAAAAATAAATCATAATAAAATATTCATAACTGATTTTCAATTTTTAATTTGTAATTATATTTATAATTTTATCATGCATATTCAAATAATACTTTCTAAAAAAATTATTTTGATAGATGGTTTTTAAAAAACATGGTGTATGGTTGGTCACCAAAAGAATAAGAAATTTTACTAATTAATACGAAGAATCTGATTTTTGTTGTGGTAATTATCACAAAATATTTTAAATCGATACCACTTTATTTATATATAAAATTGTGCTATTAACGGAATACATGATTTACAATAGGTCCGTATAATTTGATTTTAATTTTTTTATAAATATTAATGTAATTTTTACAATACTTCCTTTCATAGTAAGTCAACCCAATTAATTATAAAGTCAAAGTTACTATTAGATTATTCCATCAACCTCTTTCAATATATATAGATAGATATAAATTTTACCACAATAATTATTTTATGGAATCACATTGTAATTTCTGAATATATATATTTAAATTACACTTATTTTTAAATGAATAGAATGTAAGTCATTATCAATTACGTGCACCGTACGAGTTGTGTACTAACTTTAAGTAGACACGTTTCATGTATATCTCATAACATTTTGAATAAATTAAAATAGGTAAATTGTATTACATATTAATTTTGTATTTTTAATTTATAAATATTATCTAATAAGCATTTTTATTTTAATAAATATTAATGAGTATCTTTGCATCGTACGGGGATTCGTACTAGTATAGATTGAAACTTGTTTTTATTTATTTATTTTCTGAAACTTGTTTCCCAAGTTCAAGAACGACAATATAATAATAATAATAATAATAATAATAATAATAAGCATTTTGATTTCATAATAATAATAATAATAATAATAATAATAATAATAATAATAATAATCTTCTGTATGTATTAGTCGACATGGTAATTAACATACTATTCTGTAACCAAATCTAAGGGCTGATATTTAAGGTTAGAATCCAAGAGCACATATTTTAAAACAACGGTGTATCCTACTCCTATCCGGCTTAGATAAAGGATACGTGAGACGCAAGAAAAACAAACCATATATATATATATATATATAAACCCTCAAAGAGAATTAATTAATTAATCCGATTAATTCTGATGGGGAAAGCACTCTGTTTCGAGTCGGGATTTGAGAAACAACCTGTCTACTGCGAAGAAGAAAAAGAAGAGCCGTACATGGTGTCTGCGTGGTCGGGCTCTCTTGACGTCGTCCAGGACGAGACCAACTACCTAAGAATGGAGGGCTTCCACGCATTCCTGTCCACCCGGGCCAACAAGGCCGCCGCCCAACTTGCCGCCCAGATGGAGCCCGCCGTGGAGGTGGAGGTGCTGCCCAGGTTCCTGCTGTGGCCCGAGGACTTCGACGGCTCCATCGGGATTTACTTCTTCCCGTCCCTCGCCCGGCGGGAGGCATACGAAGCGCTGCTGGACGAGATGGTCAGGGACGACGTAGCGATGCGGGCCCTGCAGCCCGACGGGTCGGAGCTTCTTATTTTTGCTTCCACTTTGTTGCCCCGCAGCGTGTGCAAGTTTCAGGGGAGGTTCTTCATGTGGGGCTTCTGTGCTGCATAATACATACATACATATATTCTTCATGACTCTCCCTGCTTTAATTTTTTGGGTTTTGCTTTGTGTGAGTTCATGATATATGTATGTATTTTAGTTTTATGTGGCAATATTCTTTTATATTTTTTATTTGGGAATTGAGACACACGGAGAAAAATTTTAATTGTAATTTAATTTGGTATTCGTTAGAATTTAACCATGGCTGAATATGAGGAGGTTCTTGAATTATATAATTAATTTGAAATAATTTTCATCCACATAACTAAATATACTGACTACTTGAATAATAATAATAATAATATTCATAACAATAACAATTAGTTTTTTTATGCATATATATATATTTTAAATTTAAATTTAAATAATGAAAAGAGATGACCCAAGGGTAAGTAAGTAAAACAAAAGAAAAATAAACATCATACGCGCCCGAGTGTTCGAATTTCAAAAAGTTTTTGAATTTCAAAATAAGTTAGCCGTTGTAATATGCGTTATACTATAGCCAATATCATCTCCTTTCCCATCTACATTTGCGAAATAACCACCGAATCAGAGAGTATTAACACGCAGAGAGAGAGAGAGAGAGAGAGAGAGAGAGATGGACGAGAAAGCAAAATCGGCAATGGAGGCGTTCGAGAAGCTAGAGAAAGTGGGCGAGGGCACCTACGGGAAAGTCTACAGAGCGAGAGAGAAGGCGACGGGCACAATCGTGGCACTTAAGAAGACCCGACTGCACGAAGACGAAGAAGGGGTACCGCCCACCACTCTCCGCGAGGTCTCCCTTCTCAGGATGCTTTCCAGGGATCCCCATGTCGTCAAGTAAATTTTACACACTTTGATCCTCTTCCCTTTTTTTTGTTTTTCTTCGAAAATTGGGATTTCTTTCATTTGGATTTGGCTTTCCGATTGTAGTTTTCAGGCGTTTTATTGATTCCCTTGTGCTTGTTCAGGGCTTTTTATTTTAGTTGATTTGTCTTCGGTTTAGTTCGATTTACTCGTTGGCTTGGTGTGGCTGATTGTGATGTTAATTTCTGATTTTGTTTGTGTTTTTTGATTTGGGGTGTAGGATTTCCTTTGAATTTGTTGCTTCTATTGGCTATTTCATTAATTGGGTTGTGAAATTTGAGTTCAATCCGAGAATTGGCATGAAAATGGCTACAATTTGATATTGTAGGAACCTTGCTAAGTTAATGTTGTTCTGTGTCCCAAAAACTAGAGTTTTATTTACATCTATAAATTGCTATGGGCTTTGAATATTACTCATCACTGTGATTAGTTCCTTTGGAATTTTATTCTTTCTGCAACTATATATAATCGATTTCCAATTACAAACTTTTAGATTGATGGATGTGAAACAAGGACAGAACAAGGAAGGAAAGACAGTCCTCTACTTGGTTTTCGAGTACATGGATACCGACCTCAAGAAGTATATTCGCAGCTTTCGCCAATCTGGAGGAAATATTCCATCCAACATCGTCAAGGTATGTTTGCCTAGGATTTGTTTCAATTAGTTTTTACAGGTTCTCTTCTTCGATTTATTTTGCTATAGCAACTTAATACTCTGTAAGGTGTTCATAATTGCAGAGTTTAATGTATCAACTTTGCAAAGGTGTTGCTTTCTGTCATGGCCATGGTGTTCTACACAGGTAAATCAATGTATTTTTTTCTTCTAAAATCAATATTTGGATCGGTTCATTTTCTTCCTTGTGTTTGAGCTAATTTCAAGCAATCGTTTAGGGATCTCAAGCCTCACAATCTTTTGATGGATCGTAAGACAATGATGCTTAAGATAGCAGACCTTGGTTTGGCCAGAGCTTTTACGGTCCCTATTAAGAAGTACACTCATGAGGTACTTTGTTAAATGCTTCTATTTTTTCTCTGATTGAAAGCCATTTCAAATACTATTATTATTATTATTATTATTATTATTATTATTAGCATTTATTGAATATGGTTCTATTATTTGCAGATATTGACCCTTTGGTATAGGGCTCCTGAGGTGCTTTTGGGAGCTACACACTACTCACCAGCAGTGGACATGTGGTCAGTCGCCTGCATATTTGGTATGAACAATTTGCTTCGGACTATATTTGCTGATTCTGACTGTGTCATAGTGTTTGTTCATTAGAATTACTTCGTTGTATCATGATTGCAAATTTATTGAGTTGATTAGTGAACTTGAAAGGGGAATTGAATGACAACTAAGGGTACGGATGTTTGTCGTTTTGGACTATACATTATTGATACATATATGTTTTGTAGTCAGGAATGTGTTAGTCCAAGTGTTTTGTACTACAAGAAATTTTAACTACAAAGTTGTGAACAATCATTCTTTTGGATTTTTACATATCAGCTGAACTGGTGACGAACCAAGCTCTCTTTCCTGGAGACTCTGAACTGCAGCAGCTTCTCCACATTTTCAGGTTAATAAATAATTCTATTAGATTTAGGGTTTCTGATATTGGAGAGAGAGGAGAGAATCTCAGAGAAAGAAAGAAAAATACAATTATGAATTAATGAATAATGATCTGTTTACAAAGTGCTATATATACTGTTGCCTATAACAAGAGTTGTCATTTTATGTTTGACAACTTTACATAAACCAAAGACTATTAGCTATTAAAGACTCTTTCAAATTCGAATCTTGGAAGTTTGTTCTTCCAATATAATCAACTCTTGCTACCCTTCGTTATATATATAACTGGTGCACATGTTTGATGGAAGTAGATTGTTGGGAACTCCTAATGAAGAAGTTTGGCCTGGAGTTAGCAAGTTAGTGAACTGGCACGAGTACCCACAATGGACCCCGAAGCCGCTTTCATCGGCTGTGCCTGGACTGGATGAAACTGGCCTACACCTCTTATCTGTAAGTCCTTTGCTTGCTTCAACTTAAGAACAACAAAATTAAATTTATTCAAAAATTAAAAAAATGTGCGATTTTTGCAGGAGATGCTGCAATACGAGCCATCAAAGAGGATTTCAGCAAAGAAAGCTATGGAGCACCCTTATTTTGATGATATTGACAAGTCTGGTCTCTGAAAGTTGCGCTCACTCAATCGTGCTTAGATGATGGATGCGGGATTTTTGCTTTTGGACCTTGTGATTTCATACTCTTGCTTTTCTCGAGCATTCATTGTCCGTGTTAATCGACTTTATGCTGATAAGTCAAAACTTGTTTGTTTTTCTTGTTGTAGCCAATATAGCCATAGAGATTGAGTTTTTCCGAGCACTTCTCCATGAGTGCTACGTAATTGTAGCTGCTATTAACAAGTCTATCTCTAATATTTGGTCGCTATTAATTAACAATGTTGCCCTTGGTGTTGTTTCCTTGTTCATTTTTCAATGATGCATCATTATTTGAATTATTAACTAATTCATATTAGTCTTAGTACAGCGGATTTTTGCAGTGTGGAAGTTGATGAAAAATTACTTACAACGTTGTACATATTTTCCCAACTAATGAGGCTTCATTTGGATGTCTATCTTCCGGAAACATTGCATCATTCGATGTACGAATCTGAAGTCCGATGGCATATACCAATATACTCATTGCCAATATTGATGTCCAAAATATCGAAATGCTGGAGGTTTTTTTTTGCAAAATTACATCATCCTTTTTTGAAACAACATTGAATGGGCTCAAGGAAGAGGTCCGTGTTGGTTTTGGCCCAAACGATGCTTCTAATTTATGGAAAACAATCCAAGGAGCATTACATTGCGCGTGAACTTGATTTCCTTCACCAAAAAAAAAAAAAAAAACTTTTGGGCAATTTGCATTTAAACTACACGATTTTAAAAATATTATAATAATACGAGATGACAGATTTTAATTGTGCGGTTACCGTTTTTTGTGCTTTTATTTATTGCTCAAGTAAAAGCTTATGTTATGTTTTAATCCACCTTTCTACAATCAAACAACTTTCCTAAAATCAAGCAAAAAAGTGGATTAAGAGAAGGTAAGTGTATTTAACCCAATAGTTAGGAATGAAAAAGAGATATAATAGAAATTTATTCACCTTCATTCGAAACTACGGCGGCGTCGCAGGTTGACAGAAGTGTATTGGGTATATTTTATGGAAATGTGGGGACTGAATGAGATCCACAGTTCAGGGATTGAGTGTATATATGTATATTTTACGTATATGTAGGTTCTGAAATAAATTTTGAGAAATGATTGAAACTCGAGTGTATAATTAAAGTATATTTTATGAATATGTGTGTCTCGATCTGTCGTTGGCTTAAATTACGAGAATCTCGATATGTATATTTTATGTATATGTGTGTTGTACACTTTGGTATATACAGTATATACCCACAAAATAAACATTGAAATCCAAAAATCTCATAAACTATTAATAATCATTAAATAAACATTGAAATCTAAAAATCTCATAAAATTTACACTCTCAACTTTAGATAATAAACCCCCAAAATGTACACTCTGAAACTTTGCACATATACATAAAAATTACATAAAATACACACTCGAGTTTCTTCGTAATTCAAGCCAACGATAGATCGGGCTACATATACATAAATTAAATATAAAATATAAACTCAAGTTTCTCGTAATTCAATCCAGTGACAGATCAGGACACACATATACATAAAAGATACACAAAATATACACTTGAGTTTCTCGTAATTCAATTCAGCGATAGATCGGGACACACATTTACAAAAGATACATAAAAGTACGCTCGAGTTTCTCGTAATAAATCCAGTGAAAGATCGGTACACACATATACATAAAAGATACATAAAATATACACTCGAGTTTCTCGTAATTACAGCCAACGACATAACGAACATCAACGACATTTGTGTGGAGCCGACAAGCAGAGACAACAAACCGGGGCCATAGGTTCTTGCAAATCCAAAATACAGTCATAGCACAAAAGAAACATAAACATCCCACATAATAAGTTGTCTTCATCACTAGAATTTTTTTAAAATGCATCTACTTCGATTTGCATTTCGTTTTCAACACGAAAATCGGGATCCCGCATCCCGTCTCCTTCTGGAACACTGTAACTCTTCCTTTTACGTCGTTTCCTGGTATCTTTATGTTCAACATCACCGGGCTCCGAATGGAAATCATCACAATTTGGTGCAAAATTGGTCGTCGTCTCTTGTACGAAATCTTTTGCTATTCTAAAATGGAGTCACCAGCGCCGCCGCTCGAGACGCGAGACATTGAAAATCAGCGACCTCTCAGACGTGATGATGATTGCCTTGGACTATGGCGGTTTGGTCAATTTTCGCCATGGCATGAGGGATGATAGAAAAAATGAATTAGAAGAGAAGTCTCGAAAAACCAGAGGAAAATTTTGTGAAAAGTGAGATGTTGAAGGTGGCGTGAGTGATTGAACTGAAACCACCTATTACCGTTTAAAAATAAATAAAAAAGGAAATAAATAATTGCACAATGGGTGCAATTACTTCGTGTAATTATATTAATTTTGCTAATAAAATAATACAGTAGTATGTTTGCAAATATTTTGTGAAGATCTCAATTAATTTTCTCAAAACTTTTGAGAAAATTACACTCCTTACCGTCAAAGTTGCACTTTTTTTTACAAATACGAGTGACAAACTTTATTTTTATTAATACTACTAGTTATTAAAATTAATGCTAAATGAAGTTAATTTTAAACAATAAAGTGCAGTTACCAAAAACTGAATACTTAATTAGTGGACAGATATCCGATGATCTTTTCCATAATCTCAACCAAAAGTCATGCAAATTTTATCCTGAAAATTTAATCTCTCTCCCAAATATTAATTTAATAATATCTCTGAAAAAAATCCAAATTTCACCATTTTTATCTGCTGCAATTTTTCATCTGGTGCAAAAGTGACTCAAAACTACTCACTCAAAGGTTTTGTTTGCTAACATATAAACAACAGTATATATTGCGTATATATTACGTATATCTTGAAACATGGTATATATTTTTGTAAAGTGAAGTATATTACTTGTTTACTTATCTCCATCATTTTTATTTACTTAACATAAACGTTAAATAAACAAAAGAAAAAATTTGGATCACGCATAAGCATAATAAGTTATACTGAACATAAACGGTAGATAAACAAAATATTATCTCACACAAGCCATTGACGAATATATTGATTTTATTTGAAAAGATTTGCTTTCTCAAACCAAACATCAATTCAGTGTCAAAACTCAGATAATCCAAACTGAAATCCCCACCGTGACAGTTATGTGGCCGTAAACAGAGTCCATCTCACCACCGCCAAAAAGCACACTCCCTCTGAAATCCCGGCCTTGTCGTACCGCCATACGGAGAACTAAAGAAAGTACCATTGACAACAATAATGTTCTACAATGATTCCACACTTTAATTGAAGCATTAAGACACGTGAACACTATTATCTCTTAAAGTTTCACCGACCACAATATTAGTATTCATGCATCCATTGACCACAACTCCAACTGTTCTGGAGTTGTTTATTTCCAGTTTATCTTCCGTATATTTTGTTGTTTTCAACATAGTATCTACAGAATGTTCGGCGAATCCTCTGTAAAAATCATCGTCTTCTGAATCTCCTCTTGTCATTTCCAGACGTCTTAATGCTGCTAAAAAATTAAAAACACCCAACAATCTCATACATGATCACCATAAACATAGATTACACAGGAATATACCTCATTATTCATGAACTATAACCAGATTATGAATCAATGCAACACAATGAAAGCTCAAATTAAAAAAATAAAAAATAAACATACTATAATTTCGTAAT